GCGTAAAGATCTCGGAGTATTTTTTTTTTCTTTTTTTTTTTTTTTTTTTTCTTGAAACATGCATTACAAGTGAATTTTCGAAAGTGTGATTATGCCTTATGAAAAGTTTAGATAATCCTATTATATAATTTTATATATATATACATATATATATATTATAATATTTAAGTTATAAATATTAAGTCGATCTAATTCTTATTTTCTTTCTTTCTTTCTTTCTTTCTTTCTTTCTTTTTTTTTCTATCTTACTATTAAACAAAAAAACAAAAAAATCAATGTTTAAATCTCTCTCGAAGATATCTCAGTGAATTTCTAGAAAACTTTTCAAATAGTCGTATGATTCCTATTGTTCTCAGTTTTACGATTAGCAGAGAGAAAAAAGAAGAAGAAAGATAGAGAGACAGAGACAGAAACAGAGAGAGAGAGAGAGAGAGAGAGAGAGACAGAGAGGGAAGAAAGAAAGAGGATTCTAGATGTAGTCACGAAGAGGAGTAGAGTTAAAGTAGAGAACCGATATCATCGGAGGCTTTATATCGGAGCTAAAGTTACGTTCGCACAAAGCACACTTCGTCGAAATCTCTCTCTAGCCAAGTTGAGAGATGTAAATCGGTGTATCGGTTCGCTCGCGAATCGTCTGACAAAAAAGGGAAAGAGAGAGTGAGAGAGAGAAAGAGAGAGAGGGGGTGGGATGGATGGGTGGGTGGGTGGGTTGGTTATAGCGTGAGTAAAAAGGCGAGAGTCGAGAGAGAGAGAGAGATGGTTATGGTATGAGTAAAACGAATAGAGAGAAAGAAAAGAGATGAGGCTGGTTATGGTGTGAGTAAAAAAAAAAGAAAAAAATGAAAAAAAAAAAAAAGAGAAGAGCAACCAAGGATAGAAAAAGAAGAAGAAAGTAGGAGAGAAGAAGAGTTCAGGAGGAAAAAAAAAAAGACAAAAAAAACCCCCCCCCGGATTTATTCGTCGAATACGAGAAAAAAAGAAAAGGTTTCTTCTTTTTCGATGGATGGGCTTGAAGGTGGAATTGTGTGAGTTGAAGGGAAACAGGAAGCCTCCGTTAGAAAGAGATAGATGATGCCTCGTAGGTAGATCGCTAGTGAGAAAGGAAAGAGGACAGATAACAGAGAATCCTTTTGATCCGCGTGGAATCAACCGAAAAGGAAGATTTCCTTGAGAAAAGGGGATATGAAAGAGACGAAAGTATCCTTCCTATTCGTTTTCCATAACCCCTCACCACTCTATCCATCCCTTCTACAACCCTCTCAATCCCTCTTTCTCTTTTCGTCAAATCAGTCCTCTTTTCCACCTGCCACCCCCCCCACCCCCTTTAACCCTTATTTTCTCTATATAACATTCTGTTGTATTTCTTTAGATAACCTGTATTACATAGTAATAAGTTTCATTTTATGATTGAATATCATAGAAAATTTTATTAATATTAAATAATAATATATATATATATATATTTATATTATTTAATTTTTATTATTAATTTTATAATTATTAGTTTTTATTTTTTATTTTATTCTTTTCTTTTTTTTTTTTTTTTTTTTTTTTTTTTTTAACTTCTATATAAAGTTGGTATATATATATATATATATATATATATATATTTTTTTTTTTTTAATAATATTTATAATTACATATATAAGGAGAAAAACCGAAATGATAATAAACAAAACTTTTTTTTATTTACTTATTTATTTATTTATTTATTTATTTATTTATTTCTTGATATATTTATATAAAAATAAAAATATTTCAATTGATTTTACGCAGATGAATTTGTATAAAAATCATTAATAGAAATGATAATGAAAGTGAAATGATATATCGTTTATAATATAACGATTAGAATTGAATGTGTTATATAATCGATTAGAAACGTGAGAATCATTAGAGATTTGAACAATTAATTCGGCTTACGGATACTCTTCGATGCTCGTTAATGTTTGACATAGATCGAGGAATACAATCTCCTATTACCATCGCATTAGGATATTTAAATTGATATTAACAGCTGATATATCGACTCCCACGTTTACTACGTTTTACTTTTGATTAATTTCTAATCGTTCTAATTAATTTTTTTATTATATTTAAGAACTAATCGCGTCATAATCGTCATCGTGTCAATCGAGTTTTTCTTCGTTTTATCTATAACACACGTACGAGAGAAAAATTATTTATTATATAATTATTATTTAATTGTGTATGTATGTGTATATATATATATATGTATAATTAATAATTAATAATTATATATTATTTACTTTTTTCTTTTCTTTCTTCTTTCTTTCTTTTTTTGTGAAAAAAAAAAAAACACGTTAATACAATTACATTGGTAATATTATTATTATAATAATATCTAACTTGTTCGCACAATAATAATAATAATAATAATAATATCGTTCATTTCGTACGCAAAATATTTTCACGCTTTTAAATCGTAGATCTTTTATTAATCAAATTTTCTAATGGCAAATAATGTTATTGCAAAAGAAAAAAAAAAAAAAATAATAATAATAAAAAATAAAATAATAATAAAAAAAAAGAAAAAAAAGGAACTAATAAGAATTTATTTTAAGCTCACGCATGTAAACGTATTATTTATAAATATTTTAATATATATTTTTATATATTTTTTTCTTTTTCTTTCCTTTCTTTTTTTTTTTCTTTATATTTTTTTTTTTTTCTTCTTTTTTCTTCGTCGTAAAGCGATCGTCAAAGTTACTCTTCAGCGAGATTCGATCCTTCTTAAGAAAGATAGCAGGATACCGTGATAACTCCTTTCCCTCCCTCCTTCCCTCTCTTCCTCCCTCTCTCTCTCTCTCTCTCTCTCTCTCTCTTTCTCTTTATCCTTTACTCAATAACGGAGCATCCTAGCACAATATCGTCCCTTTCGCTCGACATTTCCCATTTTCCGCGTTCTTTGACAATCGACCGTAACGAAGCCACGTTAAGCGAGTAGCAGAAGTGTGCAACCGAGAGAGAGAGAGAGAGAGAGAGAGAGAGAGAGAGAGAAAATAAAATGGAGTAACAAGGAAGAGAAATGCCTTCGACGTCGCTCTCGTTATCGGAAAGTTTCTCTTCTTCTCGCGAGTTAAGCGCTACATTATTTCACGTAGATGTAGGTATCTATACTAGAAGACATAAATTTGTTCGACGATTCGATGCTAACCATTCTTCTACTCGAAACTAGTATAACAAAACCATTGTCGAGTAAACCATTGTCAATTTGTATCTGTCTATGTATATATATATATATATATATATATATATATATATATATATAGAGTATATATATATATATACTCTATACTTTTATTTTTATTCTGCTTTTCTTTTTTTCTTTTCTACAAAAATAAAAAAGAAAAAAAAAAAGAAAAGAAAGAAAATAAATCTTGTTAACATTGTCATTATTATTTTATATTATTACATATTATTATTTTATATTATTTCATATTATTATTATTATTATTATTATTATTATTATTATTATTATTATTATTATTATTATTATTATTATTATTATTATTATTATTATTATTATTATTATTATTATTATTATTATTATTATTATTATTATTATTATTATTATTATTATTATTATTATTATTATTATTATTATTATTATTATTATTATTATTATTATTATTATTATTATTATTATTATTATTATTATTATTATTATTATTATTATTATTATTATTATTATTATTATTATTATTATTATTATTATTATTATTATTATTATTATTATTATTATTATTATTATTATTATTATTATTATTATTATTATTATTATTATTATTATTATTATTATTATTATTATTATTATTATTATTATTATTATTATTATTATTATTATTATTATTATTATTATTATTATTATTGTTGTTGTTGTTGTTGTTGTTGTTGTTGTTGTTGTTGTTGTTGTTGTTGTTGTTGTTGTTGTTGTTGTTGTTGTTGTTGTTGTTGTTGTTGTTGTTGTTGTTGTTGTTGTTGTTGTTGTTGTTGTTGTTGTTGTTGTTGTTGTTGTTGTTGTTGTTGTTGTTGTTGTTGTTGTTGTTGTTGTTGTTGTTGTTGTTGTTGTTGTTGTTGTTGTTGTTGTTGTTGTTGTTGTTGTTGTTGTTGTTGTTGTTGTTGTTGTTGTTGTTGTTGTTGTTGTCGTTGTTGTTGTTGTTGTTGTTGTTGTTGTTGTTGT